TGAGCTCTTCCATCCTGACCCACTGCCCTCCTTCCCCTGTGTCCGGGGCCTCGGCAGAGCCCAGTTTGATCCTTCAGGGGTGGTGGGTCCCCATCAGGTTCCCAATGATGGGGTGACTTTGCCCCTACCTGAGCTGCAAGGGGCGCTGTAGGCGGCATCTGTGCGGTCACCTGCAACGGGAAGGACGGTGACCAACAGGCTCGGGGGGGGGAGCTCCCGTTTAGGAAGCAAGTTTGTCATCGTGAACTGAAAGCTCAGCCAAACCCTCTCTGAGCCGTTGGGATTGCAAGGGGTGGATGCAGGGCCAAGCACCTCAGGGCCATGTCCCCAGCGGGACTCACCCGTCTCGTAGTAGTCGTACAGCGTCACGGTGGCCGGCTGGAGGTTCCTCACTGGGAAGTCCTGCGTGGCGATGAAGGCAAAGGTCTCCTCCTCCTTCGTCAGCTGTAGAGATGGCCCAAGGGTGAGGTGCACCCATCCACAATGGGGAAGCATCCTCACACCCCAGTGTGTGCAATCCTGCTCCTGTCCCCATGCCCCATCTCACCTGGTCCAGGTAAATTGTCACCTGGTCGGGCTGCACCTCCACCTTCTTCACCAGCTTCTGCCTCTTTAGCTGGAGGGACACGGCTCAGGATGAGCAACAGAGTGGGTGCCCCAAGCAGGGATGGGGCAGAGGGAGCTTCTCACCTCCACCACAGAGCTCTTCTCCGGGGTGTAGCCAGACGGCAGCTTGGCCTCGATGACAACCATGTTGGTGGTGGGACGCTCCCCGGTGTAACTGCAGGGACAGAGCCCCAGGGTGGGGTTGGGGGGTCTGCCTGCTCTCCTCAGCCGCTCCCAGCCACCCGCCGGGGGGGGCCGCCCCCAGCCTCTACCGAGCCCGGAGGAGGAGGCGGAAGCTGGTGCTGACATCCCCTCTGCACTCCCCAGGCTCTGTCTCCACGCGGAGGTCGAACGTCCCTGGGCTCGGAGGCGGCGGCACATTATAGCGCAGGGTCACCTGGGATGACGCAGGAGGGTTAAAGCCACCGCGAGTGGGACCCAAGTGGGACACAAGGACAGGAATCCCATGCCATACCCACCTGCACCAGGGCACAGCCCTGCCCGTGGGCACGCAGCCTGTACGTCCCCGGCACCTCGCGCAGAGCCACCCGTTGCAGCACCAGCCGGTTGCTGTCGTGCAGCACGAAGCCCTGTGAGTTGCCTGTTGGGGGCGTCACGGTCACCGTGAAATTCCCGTTGCTGCCATACGTCAGGGCGGCGTACTTGGCCAGAGCTTGCAGGGCCACCACGGTGTCCTGAGCATGGAGAAAGCATCGAGCCAGGGTCATCACAGATATGGATGAGAGGATGCTTGGAGGAGCCTCAAGGACCCTGGTGCTGGTACCTGTGTGGAGGCGAAGCCCCCATAAGGGTTTTGCTGCCTTGTGAGCCAGCGGACGATCTGTGAAGCTGTCCCCAGGTCAGCGGAGGACACTTGGGGTTGGGAGAGGTAGGCCAGCAGGACGTAGGCAGTCATCTCCACCTCCGCTGGCGCGGCGGGAGCGCCACGGGGGCGGTGTAGAGCCTTCCCTTTCCTCTGCCAGAAGAGCTGCCCCTCTGCAAGAGAAAGGGGTGGGAGTTCAGCCGCTTTTTCTGGGGGTCCCAGGAAGGAGCTGTGACTGGGGTGTGCCTGGGGGTGACCCGGGCAGAGGGAGGTACCTGCACGGACGCTGTGCTGGTCCAGGTGCTGGAGCTGGGTTTGCTGCTGCCCCCTGAGCCCTGCCAGCCCAAAGACGTAGGCGAGCAGAGCCTGCGTGTAGGGGTCATCCGTGGCAGAAGCCTCCAGGCATCGCAGGGCTGAGCTCACCGTTGGGTCCTGGCACGGGAGCAGAGTCAGGAGCCAGCCCACCAGTGTGGGCATCGCCCAGAGTTCTGCCCAGGGAGACCAGTTGCACCCAGGTCAGGCTTAGAGGTGGCCTGGAACAGCCAGACTCCTTGTCCCAGCACCCAACCCCACGCGACTGGCCCCTTTGGGGCAGATGGGGTCACCCTCACCGTGGGAGAGAGCCCCAGCTCCAGCATCGCAGCCGTGACGTACGCCGACAGAGAGAGCTCATCCGAGACGCCGCCCTGCAAAGGTGACAGTGGGGACAGGTCCAGCCACGCTGTGTCACCAGCACAGGGACTCCACCACCGCCTAGACACACGCTGGGGACAATGCTGGCACCAGCTGAGCTCTGGCCACACGTCCCACCCCACCGACCCACCTGCAGGGCGTTGTTGAAGAGCTTTCCCACGCTGCGGAAGCAGCCCGTCTCCCGCTGGTTTTTCTGCAGCCAACGCAGCGCGTCCGTGATGTGCCGCTCCTCGATAGCCACATAGGCTCTGGCTTGCCCAAAGGACTTGAGGACAAACGCTGTCAGCCTGCAAACCAGAGACACGTTGGAGGGTTGGAAGGTTGGGAAGGACCTCTAAGATCATCTAGTCCAACCACCTACCCAACATTACTATGACCACTAAACCATGTCCTGAAGTGCCACATCTATACATGTTCGGAACGCCTCCAGGGATGGTGACCCCGCCACTTCCCCGACCAGCCTGTTCCAGTGCCTCACCACTCTTTCAGCAAAGAAATTTTGCCTGATATCTAATCTAAACCTCCCTTGGTGTGACTCGAGGCCATTTCCTCTTGTCCTATCACCAGCAACTTGGAGAACCAGGGCCAGGGCACACTTGGTAGCAAGTGGAGCCCCAGCATGGCTGGTCCCCACAGGGAGGGGACGGCACTGCCTGCTCGGGCCCTGTGGGGTCCCTCACCAGGTGTTGCCTGTGGGATCTCTCTCCCCAAAGGCGCTGTAAGAGCCGTCGCTGTGCTTGTAGAGCAGCTCTCGTTGGTAACCTGCAGGGAGGAGATGGGGGTGAGTCTTTTCACAGTGGTTCTTCCACCCTCAGGTGACCCCAGAGGTAGCCTGGAGCCCAGACCCACCCTTGGGAAGGAGGGATATGGGGCGCTGGTGTCCCTCAGCAGCAGGATGGGATGGAGAGAGGAGAGGACCAGGGACACCCACCGCTCTGCAGGAAGCCCTGCGCCTTGGCGCGGATGTCAGGGTGCAGCTGCCCAGTCTTCTCCAGGTACTGCTGGATGTAGATGTTAGGGGCGAAGAGAACCATGTTCTGCTCCCCACAACCATAGGGCATGGCCAGGAGATGGTCCAGGTTCTGCAGAGCGTTGCCCATGATGTCACCTATCATGGGGAGCGTGGTCATCGTCTGTCCCTCCCTGCCACCAGCACCTTGTATCCCTTTTCATCCCAGCTCTGGGTGGTGCCACCTCCTGCTGAGCTTGGACCCCGGAGCTTTGTACCCTCCCTGCCCCGGGTGGTCCCCAGGCCCCTGCCTGGCCATTACCCATCACGGTGACATGGGCTCGCTGGGAGCCCTCCAAGATGTTTGCAGGAACCTCCAGGGAGACTTCTTCAGCAGCTGCGGGGATGGAGCGCAATGACTGTGAGGATGCCCAGCTCCTCTCAGCCCCACAGCACCCCTGCCCTCTCCCTTCCTGCTCCAGCCCTTCACAGGCTCGGGACTGGGTTGCAGCATTTCAGCCGGGAGCCCCTAAAAACCCTGATTCTTGGCTCCTCTGGCCAGGTTGCCCTTGAGACCTGTGGTCAAGCATCCCTGCCCCACATCCCCTTGGCACTGCTGGTCCTACCTTCCTGGCAGAGCAGGGAGTTGTGGGCTTTCTCCACCAGGATCCCCCCAGGCTGTGAGGAAGCAACATCAGAGCTGGTCAGGAGGAGGGAACAACAATGTCCCCCTGTCCCCACAGCAGCCCTGGCTCGGCCTGGGGGCTGTCCCAATCCTCCCACTGCACCTCAAGGACTGCTCGGGCCCTCTTCCCAAACCCATCCCACTTTCCTCCTCCATAACCCGTCTGACCTGCACCAGCAAGGGCTTTATCACGGTGTCCACGTGCCCCTGGGCTGGCACCACAGGGATCTCATTGCCACAGAGCTCCTTGGAGCTGAGGGCCTCGGTGCTGATGGTGATGTTCACCTCCCCTGCGGATGCAAACAGGGTGCTCAGTCCCTGCAGATCCCCACAGCCCCACAACAGGATTACATCAGCCCTTCAGCTTTGCGTGGGGCTGGCGGGATTGCGATGGGGGTCAGTAGCTCAAGGAACAGAGCTGGGTGGCAATGGGGAAGGAAAATATGGAGCAGATGAGAGCTTCCCAGGTGACACTGCATTTGCTCTTGCCCTCCCTCCCCACCCCATCCTCCCCAAGGGGGTTCCCAAGCAGGGGGCTCCTGCTGTGACCCTGGTGCTCCGTACCCAGGCTGGTGGCTCGCACATCCCAACGGAAGGTCCTCGCTTCATCAGCACAGATACAACCAC